CTGGAACCCCAGGGCTGTGGTCAGGGGACTTTTGACTGATTGTGGGCAACAGGGGACAGTCAGCGGCCTCTGGGGGAAAAGCGAACCTTTCCAAGGCCCACCCACTCCTGAGGGGGATTCCATCCTGCCAAAGCCAAGAGGGACAGCAGCTCCCCTCCCTCTGTCTCTGCCCGATTCAGAGGGGTGCAGAGAGGCCTCCTCAGCCAGCCTTTAAACTCTCAGCCCGCCCCAAACTAGGAGGGCCCTGACGCCTCCACATCAGCGTGTTCAGGACCACCTCCCACAGGGTTTTGATTCATTTTTTCCTCTGACCACGTTATATTATCTATGGCTTTATTAACCTGAAGTTCTTGGGATTTTTACACCCACTGTTCCTACAATCATGTTTCCTCGTGTTTTCTATGACTGTGAGCTCCACCTGTGGGAATCACATGCAGCCGGGTTGGGGTTATGTATCTTCCATGAGTTCTAGAGCACCAATCTGAGAGGTGCAGGCCTAGGGTTTTGATTTTGAGTCCAGAAAGATTAACACCCATATCCTCTCCCTGGGCTGGTGGGATTTCTTGGCCCCCATTTCACTGGGGGTCCTGGCTTTATGTGGAGGCCTTGGTTCTAGCTCCTTCCCTGATGCAGGTCAACCCCTCCCTCCAAATCCAAGGGAGTTTTGTCCCTCACCCTTGGACTTTTCCAAAGGACTAATAACCACTCCCGGGGGCTGCTACAAGCACAGGCGTCCGTGGTCACTTTTTCCCCAGTATCTGGGAATTTCCCTTTCTTAGGAATTCATCACTCATTTAACTTTTATTAGTCATCATTGGCATTTGTTTGAAGCAGCAGAGTTTTTAGGGTACCTTAGTCCACCATCTTGCTGGAGCCACTCTAGTCTTTAAAGCCAAGGTAAGGTGACATGGTTACTGAACCTCATATACAACAACGGGTTCAGCCATTCTCACAAAACGCCCTGATGTGAGGAATCCCCTCTAGGGAATGATAGAGACACCACTCATCATGTTCTTTCTTGAGTGCCCAGAGTACAGCAGGAGGGTAGCCCCCTCTACACAATGGAGCGGGGGTCCTATCAAAGTCTTCTCTGGTTTGAATGGGCCAAGCCATGCGATCCTGTTGCCTCAAAGCTGCAGCCACTCACTGAGGGGCTGGGACTATCTTGCTATGTCAGGATCTCCAGACCAACATTGGCAGGGCTATTGATCCTCAGGAACACGAAAGGAAAGCCAGTCAGCTCTCTGGCCAGATGGCATTAACACATACATACCCACCTAGTTCCAGCTTTCTAAGACAGCCCTCAGATAGGATCACAGGCCCCGGCAGTGCCTGGCCGGCAGAGGAAGGCCCTCACAGGTCTGCTATCGGCAGCCAGGCTTGGCCCCCAGTGTTCACATGCAATGAAATGTGCCTCTTAGGTCTAAGTGTGGGGGTTCAGTGCCTCTGGAAATCAGAAAGCACATCCAGTTAAAACTAAGCAGGGCCACCTTTCCCAGAAGTGGTATTTCTTAAAAGCCCATGGGCCATGATAATGTACACCCAGACTTGAAAACCACTGGGTTTAACGGTTCATCCCATCCAGATCTCAAACACCTGAGAATCTCCCAAGGTGAACTTGTTAAAATTGCAGGGCCGGCCCTGTGGCTTAGCGGTTAAGTGCGTGCTCTCTGATGCTGGCGGCCCGGCTTCGGATCCCGGGCGCACACCGGCGCACCGCTTCTCCGGCCACGCTGAGGCTGCATCCCACATACGGCAACTAGAAGGCTGTGCAACTATGACATACAACTATCTATTGGGGCTTTGGGGGGAAAATAAATAAATAAATCTTTAAAAAAAAAAAAAAAAAAAAAAATTGCAGGCTCCCTGGTTTCATCCTAGGATTGATTCAGTAGGTCTAGGATGAGGCCCATGAGTCTATCAAATACCAGAGGCAATGCTGACTCTGGTCTGATCACAGTAACTCTGAAGCAGGTCCTCCCAGTGAAGCATGGGATGTGTGTTCTAGAAAAAGTGTGAGCAGCTGGCATAGGTGAAAAGCAAGTGAAAACCTAATTGTGGGCTGCCCACCGGGAGGCTGTCCTAATAGCTGATGCTTAGAGCACAGCTGCCCTGAACATCCCCAACGGTGCCACCAACCTGACATCACAAATCAAATGACATTCATTGAGTGCCTTTGGATGTAAAGGCAAAGCTCTCCGGTTCCTCCCGAACACACCTTTACCCAACACATTACCCACCCCAAAACACTCAGCTGAAATTAATTTCCTCCTTCACCAGCCACTCATTAAAGGCCTGATCGCTGGAGGCTGTGCTAAGATTGGGAGATGGATAAAACCTGTGTCTTCTAAGTGAGCATCCTCCCTCATGGGAGAAACACGGTGGCAATCTTGCGAACAAAGCAGAGGGCAGGAGCAGCACCATCAGTAAGACCGGCCCCCAATCTGCACCTCCACTCCAGAGAAACAATGCCACCTTTTCCACGGCTCTCCCAATGCTCCCACCCACTGAGAATTCTCTGCTGCTCCTTCCGTGTTCTGGCTCCCCAACTGCCTCACCACCTAAACCTCGGATTTACTTATGCATCGGTTTCTTCCTCTGCGACACCTCAAACGCCGAGAACAGTGCCTGCAAGGTAGCTGCTGTTGGTTAGAGGGATAACCGCATACCAAAACTGGTGTGACACACAATAATTTGGGAATGGACAGGTGTCATGATTTCTAAAAAGTTTTATGAAGGTGAGTGGGACTGAGTCAGGAAAGGGCATTTAGAGGCAGGGGGACCGATCCCAGCCTACATAGAAGTCCACATAGGTCAATCTGATGGGAGAACAAAGCAAAACCCCACTGGGAAGCTTCAGCCCCATCTGTTCCCACCCCCATTCCTTTACAGACGGGAAAACCAAGGCCCAGAGAAGTGGCTCCCCCAAGGTATCAGGAAGGTAAACTCACTGGATCCTGGCTTCACACTGCCCACGTGCAGTGTAGCAGTGGATGCTTTTGGGCCTCACCTTTCCAGTGTACCTCTTTCCTATATACCTTGTGCCGGAACAGGCACTAGCAAAGTCCCACTCATGACATAGTCCCTGGTTTTCCCTCCTGAATTGAAATGCTAATTTTATCAAGGAACTGACATAAGAACAGTTCTATTTTAGTCATTTAACACTTGTGCAGTATTCAATTTTAAGAGACTTTGAAATGCTTTAGACAAAATCTGTTTCCCCTTAAACAGATTCCAGAAACTGAATCCTAGTTGGCAGAAGCGAATTCTCACATTACACAACTAATGGGAAGTCGAATCCTAAAATCTGCTTCCAACTTCCACCTGCACCTCACAAAGCAAGGCAAAGTGTTTATTCATTTTTGTTGCACAAGTGTAAGGAGCACACAATCTGGATTAACTTTAGGTAACAATAACTTAAAAGATAGAAAAGGGGCACATATTACAGAAATTTTTAAATGGACTATTTGACCATTTATACAATAAATGATGAAGAAAACTGACAATAAAACAGGCCAGTGATCAGCCAACACACAACACGTGTTAACAAACGTGGCCAAAAGATGGATGTATATCATGCGTCATCTTCCATGTAACACCTTGGCTTTTTTGGGGCGTACTGGAACACAAAGGCATATTGATTCAAACTGCCCTATTAAGTATATCTTATTAGTTTATACTTCCTTCTGAAATTAATATTTGAATGGAACATGTATTATTAGCTCACGCAACACTAGTTTTCTAATCCACCAGCTGATGCTCAGATTTAGGCAAATGCTAAAAGTAATTGCACTGAACAATATCTACTCAATTATGAACTGCAAGATAATACTGGGCAATTATTTCAAAGTATGAACTACAGATATATCTAAAAGGACATATATAGTAAAAAAAAACATTCTCTAATTAAAAAGACAGGTAGTAAATATAAATGGATTAAGTCAACAGTACCTACTCACACACAAATGAAACAAAATCGGAATGAACACAACTTTTGGGAGAGCCCATTTCAGTCCTAGGAGCAAGATCTTAGCTGGGTCATTTTGTTCAAGGATGATTTGAAAATCAATTTACAATACTATCTTAGGTCCCAGGTATGAAGACTTTTCAAGGATCTTTCATACTAACTGGAAGTTAGGAAAAATACAGTTTGAGAAATAAAATGATACTGCCCCTTACACACCCCCAGGTTACCAGCAGTCAGCCCAGCTCACACAATTCCTAACGATTGAAAGTGGAAGCTCCTTTTCCCTTTATCTCGTATCCCATGGTACTCAACCTGGGCTACAGAATACAATACACAACTTGTCCTCTTGTATGTGGCACCAACTGGCTAATACCCAGGTATGCACAGGACTGACTTTAAAGTTGATTAAAAAGCACTTCAATTCATTAAAGAAAATAAACAATAGAAATAACATGCTTAGTTTACACAGGTGAACTTATTTTGGTCACCTAATAAATTTTGAATTGGCTCTCATTAGTGGTCAATAGAATATGTTTGCATTTGGTGAAACCAACAAAGTTAGGTTAAATCAGGCCTTTACCTCAACAGTACAAACTATGCTTATTTGCGTGTAAAGTGCCAGTTTTATATACAAATCAGTAAACTTTAAAATCTGCTTTGAAGCAATGAGGCTGACGTCTTCCAATGGCCTGTCATAAGTAACTGAAGGCTTAATCCCACCAGATCACAATCACTTGAGTTCCCACTCTGAGGCCAAGAGCTGTTAGGAGCCACGAAGCCATGCGCAGCTAGCCTGCTTGCCAAAGCCAAACACAGACAAGACCTTTCCTAAGAACCCGAGCTCCGTCTATGCTCTTGCTCTAGGTAACACACTAGCATTCTTAATAAACAACTGATTTTGAGGTAGCTACACAGTTTTAAAGAGGCCATTAATGAACATTATGGATAATTCATGGTGTAGCTGGTTGATACACTTCAAATAGCTGATTTTTTTCTTTGGATGAGAAGGGAAAAAAAAAAAATCAGCAGAATAAGAACACATCTTCAGTTCATTTAGAAGTCAGCATCCAAGGTAAAAGAATTCTCTGTCGGGCTCGACATCACTCCCATCCTCTGATACTCGCCTACTCTCTTCTCAAAGAAGTTAGTCTTCCCTTCCAGTGAAATATTCTCCATAAAGTCAAATGGATTTTCTACTCTGAAAACCTGAAAAGGTTCACAGCAAAACATAAATACAGAACACCAGTTTCAAAAGAACCAGAAGGCTATCAACAATACTGTACCTTGTTAAAACCCAGCTCCAGCATGAGTCTGTCTGCCACAAATTCAATGTACTGCTTCATTAAAGTGCAATTCATCCCAATGAGCTTCACTGGCAAAGCCTCCGTGAGGAACTCCTAGGGCCCAAAACACAGCTTCTCAATAAAATGAAAGCGCAAAGACGCCTCCCAGCAAGCACAATCCCTTACACATGACCCACCTGTTCTATCCTAACAGCATTGACAATTATTTCTTTTACTCTCTGCTCCAAAGGTTTGTGGACCAAGTGTTTGAACATCAGGCAGGCAAAGTCACAGTGTAAACCCTAGAAGAAAAAGTTTAAGATCACTATAAAGCCAGAAGACCTCTGTCATTAACATGGAATAGAAAACTGCTTTAGCCTTTTCTGCATTCTCCTTATACATCTTGCTTGGCCATCTTAAAGGAACTCAAACCGTCAAAGGGAAGATGACTTCAACTACTGTCTACTCTGCCTCTGAAACTGAGTTGGCTCAGCCCCACCCAAGGCTCTCAATGCTGCCACCTAGGAGACGACCGCAGGCCAGGTGTGGTACTCGCTGCTCTTTGTGGTGGCAAAGGATGGGGCCGAACTTGTGCGCAAAGCATTCATTCTTTCTACAGACATGAGCTCTAATTTTGCCACTACTCCCAGCAGGAAAGGCAAAACTCAGTGACTAGGCTGGTTAGTTTTTAGATTTACAACTTAATGCTCAGGAAATCAGTAATACAATTTCAAGGGAATCGAGTTGGCAAGTTTTAGTGCATTAAACCCCAAGTAACCCTGATGTGGTTTAAACTAAAATATCTGTGTAGGCCAGCCCCGTGGCTTAGCGGTTAAGTGCGCGCGCTCCGCTGCTGGCAGCCCGGGTTCGGATCCTGGGCGCGCACCGAGGCACCGCTTCTCTGGCCATGCTGAGGCCGAGTCCCACATAAAGTAACTAGAAGGATGTGCGGCTATGACATACAACTATCTACTGGGGCTTTGGGGGGAAAATAAGTAAATAAATAAAATATTAAAAAAAAAAAAAAAATATCTGTGTACCTTCACCTTCCGTTGCACAGTTTAATCCAAGTGTGTTCAAAGACACACACTGGACCAGAACGGATTCTCATTTCCTTAGGATGCTTACCAACTAACTTTGAAGTACAGGAGGATCACATAGAATACCAGGCAAAAAAATAAAACATCCCTATAGGGAAATACGTATGTGTAACTGTATTATAATATATTGAGAATACAAGTAAAATAATTTCAGTAAATTAGTCAAAGTATTTCCTCCTCTGTCAAGTATGTACATGGTTGAATTCACATGTTCAGTGTGGATAGGAGGCAATCTGGCATCTTGGGGTCCCTTTAGTGAACACTGTTGTAGGTGTTTGGGGCGCGGATCAGCCTGTTGTTTAAATTAGACTCACCTCATCTCTGCTGATCAGCTCATTGGAAAACGTGAGGCCGGGCATCAGTCCTCGTTTCTTGAGCCAGAATATCGATGCAAAAGAGCCAGAAAAGAAGATTCCTTCCACTGCAGCAAAGGCTACAACTCGCTCTCCTATTTAAGAGGTAACACCAAGATATTTCTAGTGAGGAACTGTTCGCCTTCATAGGAAGGACCAGCAAACCAGTAGCATCACTTAGAAAGTGAAGCTCAGGTGTAAGTAAGCCCACGGCGTCCTTACCATAGGTAGCCTCTTTGTCCCCAATCCAACGCAAGGCCCAGTCTGCCTTCTTCTTTACACAAGGCATCGTCTCAATGGCGTTGAAGAGAAACTCCCTGGTAGGCACACAGAGCATCCTCGATTTCAGCACAGACCTCCCATCACAAGCTTCTAGATAAGAGCACTGGGATCGACGCCAAATTGAGACTCAAACTGAGATGTTTTCTTTTTAGTGGTTTGCTTTTTCCTCCAGTGTTTTTGAAATCTCAACATTCATTTGGTGTATATCAATACAAATTTAGGTATTCTTTAGTTCATATTGAGCCCAAGATTGGCTAATACTAAAACCCTTAGTCCATTACACCAAGAGCATTTTTAGCTTAATTATCTGAAGCCCAGGTGATGACGAAGTTTCACAGGCCCTATCTTTAAATCTGAAGAACCATAAAATCTTAACTGCTGGGACTGCTTAAGCTATGCTGACCATTATCTCCCTCAATAAACAGCCCCCACCACCACCACCCAGACTGTCATCATCGGGCCAATCATTTGGGCCCCAAATGCCATATGTATATAATAAAATAATTAAAGCCAATAAACTAACCAACCTCAGATTGCTTCCTACCCTAATTCTATGCTACACTTTAATCCTAGGTCAGGAAAGCAAATCAACTGGCCCTACACTTAACTGGGTCTTCCTTATTACCCTCCTCCGCCTCCAACCTATTCCTTGGCAGTCTACTGATTTCCCAGACATTCCTTCCCAGGTGACCTTTTCTGAAGCGAAGGTCATCAGACCATTGGGCTCCTTTCATTCTCTTTCCATGTCAATATCCTCCTCTATGAGACCTGGGTCTGCCTCTCCCTCGCTTTTGAATCTTAACCACCAGACCTTCCTGATCCTACCCTTTCTGGTAATTTACCCCAGTCATGCCCACGTTTACCTTCTTTTCCCATTTCCGTCTGCAAACATGTTCAAATCTTTTTACCCCCAAAGAATTTCCTCGCTCCAGCCTTTCAAGTCGCCACTCACTTTTCCTCTTCACATTCTTCCAAGTAATCTGCAATAGCCTAAACTACTCATCTCCCTCAGCCTCACCACCTGTTGCACACAAGACCCCTGTCCTGAAGCTGACCTTAGTATCTAGACTACTCAAACAGCCCATTTCTAATTTCCTCCGCCTCTTTAGTCAATCTTCCAAATGTAAAACAGGCCCTAAGCCACCTTTATTTCTCCTCTACTATCCCCTAATATAAACTATCATTTCAGTCAAACTATTCTAAATTAATCTCACGGGTCATTGCTGCCTCTGCATTACTCTATAACTCCTCTCACTTGGAATACTTCTAGGTCTTATTTTCTGTACTGTATTACAAGCTCCCTAAGAAGCAAGTGACGTCTACTTTGCATCCTCCGCCCTGCTCCGTCTCACATTGTAGGTTAACAGATTTGCCACAGGAGTAAAAACTGTCACACCTAGGTTTTAGTTCATCATACAAAGCTTCTAGGATGTTTTTTCAGAAGAACATTATTAGATCAACAATATAGATTAGATGGAGCAACCTCATAACTTTGTTTTTAAGTGATTGGCTAATAAAGTGAATTTAGGCCTCTTCCTCAGCAGACATGACCACGGGTACTAGGAATTTCTTTGACTTGTCATTTGAGTCATTTTTCTATCCCTATATGAATTCAAAAACTTGAAATAAAGTAACAACTAATGAGTCCTAAACATGTTGGCATACCACCCAAATACTCACCTTTCTTTGGAATCTTTAATGTAAGTGTCAATGAGGAGACTATACATTTCAGAGTGTATGTTTTCCATGGCAATTTGGAAGCCATAGAAACAGCGGGCCTCTGTAACCTGAACTTCTTGGCTAAAACGTTCCACCTAATGGCAAAATACAGAAAAGTTCAGCTTGAGGAAAAACTACCGACAGCAACTTAGCCAATGGATGCTGGTTGTATCACATTCCTTTTGTACCATTTTAAGGTTTGTTTCTTTATGTAATTCCTCACTACTCTGTGGTAAAGCTGGACATTTTATGTCATATGCTAATATACAGATCAGAAAATAGATAACTCCTATTTTATAGGGTTTCTGTGAACACTTGGTTATTGATTCATTCTTGCCCAATTCATTGCAAGAAGGATCCCCTCACAATAAGACACATGCAACCAAATCCTTAAAACAGTAAAGCCACGAAAAGGAGAGCAATGTGACAGCCACAGGAGCAAACCTCTTACCACCACTTAACATTGTCTTTGAGCTTCTCTAGTCAGGGAAAAAATACCATAAGAAGGAACTGCAAAGTATAGTATAAAACAGGAAATGCCATGTAATAGAAATACTGCCTCTCCAATATATATACATTCAGTATGCTAAAATTTAAAAGATGAGGAAGGAGAGTTAGTTCTCTCTTAAATCTTGAAGTGAAAAAAGAAGATGTTTTTTGGGAAACTCACCAAGTTTTCATTTACTATGCCATCACTCGCTGCAAAGAAAGCCAGAACATGTGATATAAAATATCTCTCCTCAGGCTTCAGGGCTTCCCAGTGCTGAATGTCCTTGGAAAGATCCACCTGAAGTTCAGAAGTTCACAAGGGATTCAAGCATGAGGACCTCACACATAACATAATTCTTAAACTTTCTTTCAAGTTTAGCACCAGTTGATGAATATATCCCTCACATACAGAGTTCTCTCTGCCAATGAGAACATCTAACACCCTCAGGGGGTAACCATCCCCAAGAGGAACAAGAAAGAGGAAAGTAAAGTATATTTCAAACAAGTTATAACCACTACTGCAGAGGTCTTCCTCTCGAGGTAGGGACAAGGCTTAAACTTTTTTTTAAGTCTCCTAGTTCCTGAATCTGATTACCTCCTCAGCTGTCCAAAAGGAAGCCTCAGCTTTCTTATACATCTGCCAGATATCATGGTATTCGATAGGAAAGATCACAAAGCGGCGGGGGTTTTCTCTCAGCAGTGGTTCATCCTCCACGCTGGGGGCAGGTACCTTAGTTTTCTGTCGGAGGAGAAAGGAATGAAAATGGTAGGCATAGGGCGAACCATATGAAATTGCCATTTTTTTAGGCCAAGTACGTTCAATTATCGGCAATCTCATGTGGTTCAATGTTTTTAAGTGTCATCTGTCATACATGTATTCTATATATAACATAACAGGAACGTAACAGAGAAGCAGTAGGATATATACAGATGTGTAAGGTAGGAAATGATAAGGAAGGGACACTTTGGCGGGAAAGGAGCGCGGGCCGGGGAGGGGCTAGGGTTTGAAACAGCGGAGGAGACAATGAGGCTTTGGCGCCAAGAGCCTAATCCCCTGGCGCCCCCTGCCTGCAGCGCCCCTCGCGCAGGGCGCCCTCAGCCCCCACTCTGCCCCTCTCTGCACCCAGCCCCCTACTCACCGGCTCGGCGGGGTCCTGGAAGATCCTCCTCGCGGTCTTGCTGGCCAGCACGCGGGCCCCGCTGAGGGCCGGGGGCTGCAAGGAGACGTGCAGTGAGGGGCATGCCCACGTCCCGCAGACGCCCGCCGCCCTCCCAGGCCCACGGGTGCTCACCGTGTTCTCCTTGTCCGCCAGGCTGAGCCCCTTCAGGGGCGAGAGCTGGAGCTGCTGCTGCTGCGGGTCCACGATGGTGGCGAGCGGGTGGCGGACAGAAAGCATGGCGGCGGCGGCGGCGGCGACGAGAAACGGGCAGGTGAGGTGGCGCACGGATCCTGGGAGCCCCCGCACCGCCGCGCCAGGCTTTTAAAGCACCCCGGAGGTGCGCGAGCGGTGGGCGTGGCCTGGTGGGCGTGGCCCGGCGCCGCCTTCCCATTGGATGCGCCCGGCCGCCGGTCATTCATTCTCAGCGCCACTGCGCGGGAGCACTTTTCGCCCGCCTTCCGGGCATCCTCGGGACCCTCCCGGCACCCCCCTCGGACCTCAGGGGGCAGCAGGCCGGGCCGAGCCGGGAGCACCACTGCCCGGGCCCCTGCGAGCCCCACCAGACAAAGGCTGCAGCCCCCTCACGTCTCGGTGGCCGTGTCGGGCGTTTGTCCGGCAACCGTTTGAGATTGAATGAGGCAACGCAATTGGAGCCCGCCGGCGAGCGGGAGAGGATTTCTCCCATCCCCCACAGCCCCACCTCCCCGAAAACGTCTCTTCTCTGAACCCGTTTCGCGGGTCCGGCAAATGGTTTGCAAATGAGGTTGGTGCAAATACCTGTAAAACGCCCCTGGCTGCGAGGGAAACGCTTTTTTGCGACCGTTTAGATACGTGTACCTGGGTGGGGGTGCAAGGTCCCTGAGATCAGGCAAATTTGTGGGGTGGTCGGCAACGACCGTGCTGCCCAACGGTTAGGGTCACTGGCTGCTGAGTCCCGCGGTGCAGTTGCTGTGTCACTTGGACGTGTCACCTGACTTAAAGATTCGGTGCCCTTGTTGGTAAAATGAGACTGGTAGCCGTACCTAACCTGCAGGATTATTAATAAAATGGGAGGATTAAATGAGAATTCGCAGCCCTTTGTAAACCTGCAAGTTAACTAAATGACAGAGAGGGCCTTTGGTGCAGTTTCCCACGTAATTTGTGTCTGCTGTTAGGGCGATGTCCCCTACATCAACATTGTTTTAAAAATTGCAAACTAAGCAAAAATTCCTTAGAGAAAATTCAGAGAATGATTGAAGAACTAGGAATTCATTTACTGCTTACTGGACCTCAAATAGCCTGAAGAGGAAGTTGAAAACCTCCCTTGGAGTGAGGGTGGAGACACGAATTTAGGACAATCATTTTACTTTGTACTTGGTTTTTCAGATTACCGTAGACATTTGCCCTGCAAGGGACAAAATGCCAGAAATGAATGAAGAGAAAGGAATGTTAAGATCCAGGAAAGAAATGATTCACTTGGGAAAGCTCCAGCAGCTGTAAACACTCTTAGGGTTGTCACCAAGAGAAACACTGGATTTTTTACAGTCTTTTCTAGATGTAATACTTTAAAGAGGTTGGGGAGAGGGAAGATACCCTCCCCACTTCGACTATTTCTTCCATTTCTTAAAGTACTATACAGCATGTTTAAAGTATTCTCATGCCTCAGAGAAAGATCAGTGACAATCACATCTTAGACAAAGCAACAACTAAAACTTTGGTCTGCATCATTTGTTTTAAAGCAGCTCCCAGACATTGTCAGTTTCACCTAACTTCAGCATCCAGCGCCAGAAAATGGATATTTTTACTGATAGTTTCATGGCTGATAAAGCCATTATCACATCTAACAAAATCGTCAGTGATTCCTTGGTATCCTCTAATTCCCAATTCACATTCCAATGTCACGTAATCAATACCCGCAGAGCTCCTTTAGGTTGCCATCTCAGTCGTTGCTGTCTCAGGCACCATGTGTTTTTAGGTCCTGTTATAGTCTGTGTACAGGAACCATAAAGTGTAACTCTGAGCTAGCCAGAAATTATGACTTCATTTTTAGTTTAACTTTTTCCTGACTACGAAAATAACACATGTGCACTGTAGAAAACTCGAAAAGGCGAGTGGTACCACGAGGCAGGGAGAAAAGCCGCCATCCTCCGCGTCGCCGCCTCCCAGCTCTGAGTCATTTGGGCATGTCTCGTCCTCCCCCTACATGGGGTTTCTACTGCTCGCTTTGCAAGCAGGAAGCAGGTCTGAGGGCTACGTGGCTCTGCCCCGCGGTCACGCCCGGAGGAGACCGCCGGGCCGGGCTTCTGGTCCGCAGTGTCCCCTCTCTTGCCCTAGGGACCGGAGAGGGAAGGGCCTGGCCACACTATGCGGCCCAGCCACCCGGGGAGAGAGGGCCCGCCGCGGCGGCCCGGCGGGCCAGCGCCAAGCCTGGAATCCGCCGGGATCTTCCCCTTTTCCCTTCGGCGCCCGTTCCCTTCGGCGCGCGTTTTGACATCTGCTCCGCGATTGGTCCGCGGGAGGGAGGCTCCGCCCCGCACTTCCGAAAAGGCGGTGCTCCGTCTGGGCTCCCACGCCGGACCACCGCGGGCCCCGCCCCCGTTTCCGCAGCCCGCGCTCCGGCCGCGCGCCCGGAGCCGTAGTTGCGCTTTGACTAACCCGGCGCTGGCGGGTGTGGTGCCTCCTGGGGCCTCCACCCCTCTCCAGGCTGGGAAACTGAGGCCCGGGGAACTCAAGTGGTTTTCACAAAGCCAGTCGTCGCTCTGTACCACACACCGTGCTGGGGCTTGTCATAATACTACTGATGACCATAACCCCACAGCCACTGGGCACGTGGACCGGGTGATTTACACTTTTACTCCAGACAACAGTGTGAGGAGGTACTTCAGGTGAGGGAAATAAGGTCTGAGAGGGCAAGGAGACTGCCCAAGGTCACACAGCTTCTTAAACTGGGCAGCTGGAACTTGTCTCCCCCAACTTTTTTTTTTTTTTTGTGAGGAAGATCAGCCCTGAGCTAACAACCATGCTAATCCTCCGCTTTTTGCTGAGGAAGACCGGCTCTGAGCTACATCTATTGCCAATCCTCCTCCTTTTTTCCCCCAAAGCCCCGGTAGATAGTTGTATGTCATAGTTGCACATCCTTCTAGTTGCTGTATGTGGGACGCCGCCTCAGCATGGCCGGAGAAGTGGCGCACACCTCACCCAGGATCCGAACCTGGGCCACCAGTAGCCGAGTGCGCGCACTTAACCGCTAAGCCAGGGGCGCCCTCCCCCAACTTTTTATTAAGAATGTTTTCAACAATGGGCCCACCCTGTGGCATAGCGGTGAAGTGCGCGCCCTCCACTGCTGCTGGTGGCCCAGGGTTCAGATCGCAGGCGCCTGCCGATGCACCGCTTGTGAGGCCATGCTGTGGCGGAGTCCCATATAAACTGGAGGAAGACAGGCAGGGATGTTAGCTCAGGGCCGGTCTTCCTCAGCAAAAAAAGAGGAGGATTGGCATGGATGTTAGCTCAGGGCTGATCTTCCTCACCAAAAAAAAACCACAAAAGAATGTTTTCAACATACAGAAAAATGGAAAGAATTCTACAGTGTTCACCCACCAGCTAGGATTCAACAGTCTTCCATTTTGCCGTATTTGCTTTATCTCCCTCTATGGGTGTGTGAGGCTTTTGTTTTTTCTGGATCATTCTAAAGTGAGTTTTGGATAGCTGACATTTCACCCCTAGATATTTCAGCATGTAGCTCCTAAAAATATGGACATTCTCTAACGTAACCACAATACCATGTTCAGACCTAAGAGAACTAACATTAATTCTCTAATATCACCTAATATGTAGTCCTTAATCAAATCTTTGCAGTCATTGAAAATGTCTTTTAAGTTTGTTTTTGACTCAGGATCCAATTAAGTGCATGCATTACATTTGGTTATTGTGGCTTTTTAGTCTCTTTTAATTAGAACTCCTCCACTTTTTTCCCCCATGACATCGACTTTTTGAAGTTCACGCAAGTTTTCTGTAGAATGTCCTGCATTCTGCATTTGCCTGATTGTGTCTTCATAGTGTCATTTAACTTGTTTTTCTAACCCCTGTATTTACGGTAAACTGGAAGTTAGATCTAAAGGTTCTATTAGATTTAGCTTATTTTTTTTATTGTGGTAAAATATACATAAGCTAAAATTTGCCATTTGAACCATTTTCAAGTGTGCAGTTCAGTGGCATTAAGTACATTAAGAACGTTATGCAGCCATCACCACCATCCGTCCCCAGAACTTTTTCATCATCCCAAACAGAAACTCCGTCCCCGTTAAACACTAGCTCCTCGCTGCTCCCTCGCATCAACCTCTCATAACCACCATTCTACCTTTTGTGTATATGAATTGCTCATCTCTGAGTACCTCGTATAAGTGGAATCTTACAATATTTGTCCCTTTGTGTCTGGCTTATTTCACTTAGCGTAATGTCTTCAAGTTTCATCCACGCTGTAGCATATATCAGAATTTCATTCCTTTTTAAGGCTGAATAATACTCCATTGTATGAATAGACCACATTTTGTTTATGAGGTTTCCTTTCTGCGACCCATCTGCCCCTTCCCTCCATGGAGTTCTTTTGTTTCCCAAGCAATAGGAAGCAAGGTCAACCCTCCTCAGAACCGTGAGCTACTCCCTGCGGGGCTCCAGAGCACCTCCTTCTGAAGTTGACATTCCCCTTTCAGACCTTCAGGATGCTTGGAGTCCTCTGCTGAGGAAAATGCGTCATTCTCAGGGAACAGGAAGATGGAACACTTCATCCCGAGCGTGACTTGTTAGCTGTAGAGTTTCAGGAGGGAGGCAGTGGGCTGATGTTCAGGTTGGGTCAGCCTCCCTCTGCCTTCCAGTCCCTCTGCCAACCCCAGAAAACCTGCCAAGGGACCTCTCCCTCCACACGTCTCCTCCTCCTGTGAACACAGCCCCACCCCACCCCAAGCCTCAGCTACCCTGGGGGTCCACCTTTCCCGCCCTCTGCCCAGGCCTCACCACCAGGGCCTTTCCCTGCTTTCCTGGCAGCCCCTGCTTTGGCCTTCTGCTTCCAGGTCCGGCCCCTCCTCTGAAGGCTGCATTTCTGCCCCTTCCAGGCTCTGTCTGAAGGAGAGGATTTCCCGGATTGACTTGAGAAAGAAAGAAGAAATAAGAATGTAAGGCCACGATTTTGCAGGCCCAGGCTGTTTATTTCCTCACCACCAAGCTCAGCTTCCTGTTGGCTTATTACTGAATAATTTCTTTTGTTTTTTTTTTTTTTGGTGAGGAAGAGGGGCACTGCGCTCACATCTGTTGCCAA